ACACTAGCTGTGTGACCCTGGGCAAGTCACTTAACCCTGTTTGCCTCACTTTCCTCATCTGTAAAATGAGCTAGAGAAGGAAATGGCAAACCACTCCAGGATCTTCATCAAGAAAATCTGAAATGGGGTCATGAAGAGTCAGACACAACTGAAACAATTGAACAACAACAAAATAAACGCTCATTGATATCAGTTTTCCTGTATTACAGTACTCTTAGTCTCGATTAAGCATTGGCCAAGAGAAGTGAAAAAACCCATAGTGGTGAAGCACCTTCCAAAACCTTTTTTTTTTTTTACCCTTCATCCATGTGTTCTGGTTGGCAGATGGAGCTGTCTGAACAATATCATTCATATTCGCTTTTTACAATTTCTTCTTAATGATTTCCATATGTCTTATTTTGTATCAGATTTACAGGTATACCCACCTTCTTCAATGCTGCCCAGGGGAAATCACACTTAGCCTGGCTAGAAATAGGATAGTAGAGCATTCTTTAAGCACATCCAGCCCCATGACACCAAAAGGCCAATGAGCTGTTGAAGTCACAGTGCTGTGAATGAGAACCACACACACCTGTCTGAACTCTGATGTACTCTCGGGCGTGTGAATTTGCAGTGAGAAGATTTGCATTTAGAATCCCTCATCTGCTACTTCGCTAGTTTTGTAACCATGGGCAAGTCACTCCACATTGGGCTTCAGTTTCCTCATCTGTAAAATGAGGGGAATGGGACTAGAATCAGAACTGTGAAACAAATAGAAATGGGGTCAGTAATCCATATATAAGAATCCCTGTTGGCCTCATGTCAATTTTGTTTTGTTATCTGTGTTTAATTGCATTTTTATTTTGTTTGATATTTCCCAGTTATATTTTAATGTGATTTGGCATTCCAGAGCATATGGGTGCATGTGGCCCAAGGATAGGTGTTTGACGCCTAGATTAGAAGATCTCCAAGGTCTCTTTCTGCTCTAGCTCTTTGATTGTACGAAGACAATTTAGTATCATGGGTGCTGTTTTTGCATGTTGCATACAATTTGTGGTTCTCGGTAATTTCACAAAGAATAGCAGCTGTGTAAAAATGGCTGAGGCATCAATGAAGTGATTTCAATGAGAAGAAAGTGACTTCTCTCAGAGATGAGTCAGTTGCTTCTGACAAGGTATTAAAATTGGGCGCCTTGGAGACCAGGGAACTATTAACAGAAATCACTTAGATGTGAGTTAGAACTCTGTCTTCCATTGGTTTAACACAATCCAGTGGTTTCATTCAGGTATTGATTGCTTTTGTTAATGAACATGTTAGTTTGGAAAGATTTAGTCACATTGTAGAAAAAAAAGTAATTAGATCATGACTGAAATGTAAAGAACTGGCCATGTAAAGCCGAGTCAATTAACTTAGTGATCTAAAACCTCAGCATGGCTCATTACTGTCACTAAAATCAATGTGGCCTTGTGGTTAGAGGGCTGGAATTAAAGTCAGGGACAGCTGGGTTCAAATTGTGGTTCAGATGCTGGCTGTGAGAAGTCCTTTAATCTCTCTGGGGTTCCCTACTCCTCATTTCTCTTTCACTTAATCCACATCTGTGATTTCATCTATGTAGAGAATTCCTGTTAGAGGCAATTCCCTCCACCTATACAGATAGCTAATTTCTCTATCATACAATTGACTAGGGACGCTGAGAAGTTGTGTCCCTGGTTGTACAGCTAGTATATATTTCAATGACAAGACTTGGTCCTGGGAAAATCTGGGTCCAAGTCTGTCCCTTGAAATCCTCTAGCCACTGTCTCTCCTCATCTATAAAATAGGGATAATGCAAACTAATACCTACCTCAGAAGATGGTTCTCAGGGTCAAGTGAGATAGTGTCTTATAAAATGCTTTGTAAACCTTGAAGCACTATATAAATGGGAACTATTATCATTATTACCTACTAGAGCGTTTGTGGGTTTATGAGGATAATTCTTCAATGGTTTCCAATTTTTTTTTTCTCAGCTCATTTTTGATCAGGTGATCCTAGAAGCATGTAGAACCAGAATGTTAATGACTCACACTGCATGAATTGCAATTTTGAGGCTCACTGTACCATGGCAAAAGGTGGAAAGGAGTAATTTATATCAACAATTGATACTGCTCCCAGATTGCAAAATTGGACTGCCTCTACGGCAAGTGATGGATGTGTATATAAATCAGTCATTAAAATGACTACAGTGTTAAACCCCATGAAAATTCAACAAGCAGATTAGGAACAGGCCAGACAGCCTACAAATGACCCGATGGTAAACATGCAAATGCGACATTGATGGCCTAATAACAACACTCTCCCTCCTCCAGTCATCAGCTTAGCCATGACTGCGTAGATAAAACTGTCTACAAAGGGCTGAAGCAAAACGCGTTGTTTGATGAGTTGGAACAGTTAGCTCTGGATGTCATCCGGGATGCTGGTGATGGCAGCTACGCATTGTTATAAGTACACAACAGAGGGAACCTTGGTTGTTGCAAAGTGTGGAAACAGTAGAAGTACTTTGGCTTCTGGAAAATAAGTATAATATATAAAATTACATCTATACAATGTACATATATACATATGTGAATGTGGATGTTATTTATGTGTGGTAACGGATATATATACATGCATATTTTTGTTGTTGTTCAGTCGTTTCAGTCATGACTGACTCTTTGTGAGCCGATTTTGGGATTTTCTTGGCAAAAATACCGGAGTGGTTTGCTGTTTCCTTTTCCAGCTCATTTTTACAGATGAGGAAACTGAGGCAAGCAGGGTTAAATGACTTGTCCAAAGTCATGCAGCTACTAAGTGAGGCCAGATTTTAATTCAGAAGATGAGTGTTCCTGATGTAAGGCCCAGCACTCTATCAACTGTGCCATCTCGCTATCCCTATGAGCTCCATTCATTAGGTCTTGGGCTGAGGAGGCTGACCCCATTACTACTACTGCTGCTAAGCTATTAAGCTCCCTCCTGCTTCCTTTCAATGTCTCCTCCAGACCATGTGTGTTTGTCTAAGAACTCCAGCTGTGACTCCATTCTATCTGTTGGCTCAAAGATAAGGTTAGTCCCAAATCATTTTTCAGGGTTGACAATGGAACATTTGTCCCTGTGAACTACAGATCCCTAGGTACTAGTCAGCTCTCAAACTCCACTTAATTAAAAACCAGGAGTTAACCTAGAAGTACAGAACAGTAAAAGGACTAACAAAAATACTACGTGGACAAACTTAAGCCTGAGATATTATTCTTGAGACAAAGAAGGTACTTGAGTGTAATAAAAAGAAAGCCAGAACAAGATAGAAGACTTGGGTTCAAGTCTTGCCACTTGTACATCCTATAGTAGCTATGTGACTAAGAGGCAGGTCACTGAACCATTCAATACACCAAGCAGATCTTTACAACTATGAGTTACAGATGGAATAGCTGATCTACACTGATGGAGGGAATTTCCACACAAGGAGTTTCTTACAGTAATGGAATCACACCATAACATTACAAAGGATGTTTTAGAAAATAGCAACTATGAGATACACCAAGACAGGCCCATGATGACACCGAAGGCATCCTGGCCAATAAGTCAAGTATTGGCTCTTTACTGTAGTCGACAGAAAGGACCTTACAGGTCACCTGGTCCAATTCCTTCATTTTGGGTGTTAGGAAACTGAGACCCAAAGTAGTGACTCAAGATCCCACAGGTAGATTTTAGCAGAGATAGGATTTAAACCCAGGTCCTCTGATCTAATACAGTAAAATGTATTAACATGGATAGTGTCCACTTTTCATCCCTTCACATTTCATTGCTCTTTTCTTTAGCATTGCCTAATAAAGACCTGTGCTCTACTTCTTAAGCAAATCTTAAATATTTAAAATATTTGATGCTTTTTTTTGTGCAAGTGACATTCCCTAATGTCACCCCTACTCCTCATGCCTGCCGTAAAATCCTTTCCTGTAGCAACAAAAAATAATCAAGCAAAATAAATTTCCATGACAATATATGAGCTCATGCCATACTTGTCATTGGTATTCTGCCACCTACCTACCAGGTTGAGGGACACATCAGTCAGTCAGTTTATCAAGTGCCTACTATGTACCAGGCACAGGAATATAAAGATAGATAAAAGACAGTCCCTGCCCTCAAGGAGCTCACAATCTAATGAGAGAAAACAGCATATAATCTGAAAAGGGGATGGTGGTATAGGAGGATCCAGAATAGAGGCATGATGAAGTCCTATAATAGAGTGGGAAATGATGAGATGACTGCCCTATGTGCTCTCCTTAAATAATCTAGGAGGGGCTTTCTGATGTCTACTTTCCCCCATCTTGTCTCAGAGGAACGGAAGTACCTTTGAGGCAGTTACTAAGGATGGATGAGTTGGATGAGTTTCAGAGTTGATGCCATCTTGTAAGATGTGAGTTCCTGGAGATCAAGAAGTCCAGGAGATCAGTCAGATGGGAAATTATGTATCTTTCCTCATTAGTTCTCTGGTACCAAGAGTAGCCATCGTTAAACTTGACTTCTCACTTCTTATATCTATACATGTGATATTTTCTACCAGTACTCAAAAAGATGAAGGTGGCAACTTATGTAGTCAGTGTAGACTGTTCCTTTTTATAGGGATGTGATCTCTAAGGTTCCTTTCAATGCTGTGATTTTTGTGATAAAATTTTTTTTATTATTTATCTTGAGAAACTAGGGATTTTATCCTACCTAGGTGTTAATTTAGAAGATAACCACCCAAATAAGAAATTCTCTTTGGCTATTAGATCCCATATAATTTAATGTGAGATTGTTTGAAATGAGATTGATCTGAATAATAAAAAGAAAATTGATAATATCAAGATAACTTTTCTACCAGAGACATTCAACTCTTCAGTATTATATTTTCTAAGCTATCACAACACCTTAGACACAATATTTTAAATTATGATTTTTGTATGATTTGCATAATTTATGTGATTAAAAAAATAACTATGTATCCTCCCCCCTTTTGTTTTCCACCACAGGGGACCAAAATTCTCCAGATGTTCATGTGGTATCTGAATCCACGGCAGGTCTTTGATCTTTCTCAGGAAGGGCCAAGAGATGCGTAAGTTCTGAAACACTCACCAGGACACTCACTGGTCAAAACTTTCCTTTATTCTTTTGGACTGGTGAGAAGAACCTAGAGAATGTAGATGTGAAGAATGAACACACACACACACACACACACACACACACACACACATACTGTTTTGTAACAAGCTTCAATTTCAGATTGATCTAGGAAATAATGGCCCTATAATACCTTAATGAAGAGAGTGAAGCATCTTCTATCAGTAGATAGAGTGCCGGCCTTGTAATTGTTTTAAGATCTGTGTCGGGGCAGCTAGGTGGCACAGTGGATAGAGCACTGGACCGAAGTCAGGAGGACCTGAGTTCAAATGAGGCCTCAGACCAAACACTTGACACTCACTAGCTGTGTGACCCTGGACAAGTCACTTAACCCTAATTGCCTAAAAAAAAAAATTTGTGGCACAGTGCTGGGCCTAGAGTTAGGAAGACTTGAATTCAGATCCAGCCTCAGACACTCGTTATATGACCTTGGGTAAATCACTTCAACTCTGTTTGCCTCATTTTCTTAACTATAAAATAGGGATAATAATTGCACCTACCTCAAAGGATTGTGAGGATCAAATGGGATAGTATTTGTAGTGCTGGCACTTAGTAGGTATTATATACATGCTAGATGATGATGATGATGATGATGATGATGATGATGATGATGATGATGATGATGCTATAAATTCTTACCCTGAAACATACTGACTGCATGATTATCAGCAAGTCATTTAAATTATCAGTGCTCCAGTCTTTTAAGCCTCTGAGACTTTAAGCTAAGTTGCTAGTATGCACTGGAAGAGATAATTTCCGTTTTGGCAGATGCAGACCTTAAAATCTCGTGGTCACTTTTCTCACCACTATTGTCATTGTTTCTCTCACTTACCAATCTACTTATTCACTCACTTTCTTTTTTAGTCATTCCTATTTATTTCTCTGATCACTTCCTAGCAAGCTTACCTATTTATTGACTGACTTCTTTGAATGTACCTGAATGCTTATGAATATGCAGTTGTTAGTAACTCTGAGTGTGTGTCTGTGTATTTGTATCATTGGTATGCATGCAACTTTGGGTGTGTTTTTTGGGTAGGTATCTTTGCATGTACAGCAGAAGGAGTGAGTAGTTAAATTATATGAGTGTGAGTGTGTATGTGTTGGTATATCTGGATGTGGAGAATGCTTGAATATGTGTGTGGCTATTTCTGAGCATGTGCATGTTCACAGATGAGAGGGATGATGTGTGGGAAATCCATAACCCTTCCAGAACAACTCTTGAGTTCCTTTGGACTGTTCATGTATAAAAGTAGCTTTCTATGAGGAAAAATTTAATCCTGTTTCTTTGTACTTTTAGGGGACAGGAAGATAGGGAGAAAAGGTATAGGAAAAGAGTGACTCCTTTGCCACCATCTAGCTGTTTCTTACCCCTGTCCCCATAATATTGACATCTCCCCATTGATATTGAGGTTGTTTGGGGTTGGAATGTGGCAAATACTGGTTTAACAATAGTTAAAATAAACATTGGTAAGCTCTGAAATATTTTATATGCTTCAAATCACTATATTAATGTGAATTATTTTTAACATAACTTTAGACCAGGGAGGCAGCATGATATAGCAGCTATAATAATACTAGCAATTATAGAACACCTTGGGTTTGCAAACCACTGTCTCATTTTTATCTTTACAACAACCCAGGGAGATAGGTGCTATTATTACTTCCATTTTATAGAGGAAGAAACGGAGACAGACAGAAAGAAGTTAAGTGACTTGTCTCTAGTGCCACATAGCTGGTAAGTATCTGAGACAGAATTTGCATTCAGGTCTTCCTGATTCCAGGTCCTGTTCTCCGTCTCTTGCACCACCCAACTTTCTCTAAAACACACAGAACCCAGAGTCGGGAAGACCTAGAGAATACCCTCTCAAACATTTAGTAATTCTGTGATTCTGGGCTTGTCACTTAACCTGCCTGGGCCCTAGCTTCTTTGCCTGAAAAAAAAAATGGGAATAATAACTTTATACTTCATAGGCTATATGATATGGTACAAAAGGGAGGATTTGGAATCAAGACCTGAATTCTGATCTCAGCTCTGCCACTTACTTTGTGACTCGGAGTGAGTCATTTGACTTCTCTGTCTATAAAGTTAGGAGTAATTGATTAGCTCTAAGGGTTGTTGTGAAGTTCAAGTGGAACAATATATGGAAAGTACTTTGCAAACCTTAAAGTGATACATGAATATTAATTATTATTATTTAGTCTGACATTTTGCACTTGAAGAAACTGAGGTTCATTGATTTTAACTGGTTTACTAGTGAGTGGTCAAACTGAGACTATAACCCATGATTTTAAAGTCCTAATCCAGTGAGATCAAAAGACTTGATCTTTGTAAAGGACAGCACAGTGCCTGGCACATAGTAGATACTTTAAAAATGCTTGTTGATTTCTCTTCTCTAATCCAGTATTTTCTACTCTACCATGCTTCTTCATCTTCATTATGAGTCAGCCAGTAAATATGAAATGCCCACCGTGTGCCAGGCACTGTGCCAAGCCCAGGGAATACAGAGAAAGGTAAAGGCCAGCTGCTGCTCTAAAGAAGCTCACAGTCCAATGGAGTGACAGCATGTAAACAACTACGTACAAACAAGCTACATTCAGGATAAATAGGAAATAATCGGCAGAGTGAAGGCACTGGAATGGAGAAGGGTCGTTGCTGCTGCTGTCACTCAGATTGTTTTTAAACCCATCGAAAACAAGCTTAGTGTAATGGAAAAACCAACATATTAGGAGGTCATTAAAGAATACAGTATTGCAAAGATCATTCTTACTCAGATTCTCTTCTATTACATTCTGTACCACTAGGGTTTGCTGCAGGATTGTGAAAAGCCCTGCCATCTCTAGGCTCAGTCTCCTTAAGGCTCCTCAACTAAGCTGGCTTGTCATTTGTCTGTTTTCTGTCCTGGCTAGATTTAATGCAAGTCTATACATTTCAGAGAACACTGAGAAAAATGTCAGTGAAAAAAATCTTTAATTGAGGGGACATTGCTTAATTGATGCTTGAGGATCAGTATGCATGAAAACTGATCTGATACAAATATTTTCTGAGGTTATGGATCACTCACCTTCTCCAAGGCAGGCTGCAGTGTGCCCTTTTTGCCTACTAGGCAAGAGAATTCCAGCACATTAAAGACCAAAAGACCTGATTTCCGATCCTGAAAAATATCAAGAACAGTCAGGGGGGGAAAAAAGAACCCAAAGCAACCCAAAACAGTATTTTCTGTTGTATCCATGTGTGTGTGTGTGTGTGTGTGTGTGTGTGTGTGTGTGTGTGTGTGTGTGTGTGTGTATGTTCTTCCCACCTATGTTCTCTGGTAGATTTTGTAAATTTGATGGTGCAGAGTCTAGTCTAGAAAAAAGTAATGCAAGCTAGGATGAAAGACCCCTAATTTGAGTCAGACGCTTGAAGTTTACCTCTTTGCTTTGCATCCTCCTGCCTATGTGACCTCGCACAAATAACCACCTCACTAGGCTTCAGCTTCTCTCCCTCATGCCACATAGCTAATGAACAGCCACATCTTGCCATTTCTACCTCTGAAATATCTCTTCTATCTAACCTTTGCTGTCCACTCACACAGCTGCCATCCTAGTCCAGGCTCCCATTGCCTTTTGCTAGATTATGTTAATAATCTCCCTGGTCTCCCTGCTTCAAATCTCTTACTGCTACCAAAGTGATTTTCCTTAAACATAGATGCAATCATATGACATCTGCTCAATCAGTTTCAGTGGCTTCTTATTGCTTCTAGGATAAAATGTAAACGACTGTTAGCTTTTAAAGCCCCTCACAACATGGCACTAGCCTGTGAGTCCAGACTCCTTATTGTCAAATCCCAGTAAATTACAGAGCCTATTCTAATAAAGAGATTAGGGTACGTGTGTCCACGGTTTAATTTCTCTTAAGCTGGCTTAACATGCATTGCATGGGAGTTCAGTCCAAAGTTGGGCCCCTCTAAGAGGGCTGGTTCAGAACTGGCTTGATTTGGGATTTGGGGGTGCAGAGTTATATACCTTTTCAACAGGGGCTCATATCAATCTGCCATCATTCCAGACCACTTCTAGCCTCTGTTAATCTAGAATCTGTCTCCATCCAAGCCTCAGTAGAATAAAATCAATTCAGGTTTGGGTTTGACCTGGATAAGAAGATTCAGTGCTCTCTCATTATCAGTAATGTGCTTCTGAAGAACTTTGGACAGAAGGCTGGAGAGACTGAGAGCTCTGAATCTCCAAGACGTAGATTAACAAGAGAAACCATTTTTCACATTATATACCACTCACCCTTACCCACTCGGCGATCCAGCCCAACTGGTCTTCTGTTCTTCACGCATGATACTCTGTCACTGTGTCTTTGCATTGGCCATTAACCATGCCTAAAGGTTCTCCCTTCTCACTTCTGCCTCAAAGGCCTCCTAGTAAGTGGGGGGACCAGGGAATCTTGAGAGAAGTGAGGGAGTTCAAACACTACCTTCTGCAGGAACTAGTTTGTATATGTCTGTATTTAAGTTATAGTTATGCCATGTATACACACACACATATACATCTGTGTTCTCATATGCAGTTGCTCTCCCATTAAAATGTAAATTTTTTTCGAGTAGAGATTGTTTATTTCATTTTATTTGTATCCTTAGTGTCTAGCACAGTACCTGGAATATAGTAGGCACTTAATATTTGCTTGTCATTTGATCAACTACACAGTCTCAAAGCTCCCTTCCAGCTCTGAGTTTCTAATCCTTTGGTCATATTGGATTACAAGTAGCTAGTATCAATCATGGCATTTCACTGAAAAGTAGGAGTAGAAGAAATATAAAGGCTGTTTTCTAATAAGTAAATATAGTTCTTATTGAGACAGGAAGAAAGAAGTGGGAAAAAAAGAGAAAAAAAGTTTGGAAATTTTTAAAAATTAATTAATTAATTTTTAGTTTTTAATATTCACTTCCATACGCTTTTGAGTTTCAGATTTTCTCCTCCTTTCCCACCCCCTCCCCAAGACAGCATGCAATCTGATATAGGTTCTACGCATACATTTCTATTAAACATATTTTCACATTAGTCGTGTTGTAAAGAAGAATCAGAACCAATAGAAGGAACCACAAGAAAGAAGAAACAAAACAAAACAGAAGAAAAAGAAAGCAAATAGTGTGCTTTGATCTGCATTCAGACTCCATAGTTCTATCTCTGGATGTGGACAGTGTTTTCCATCATGAGACTTTTGGAGATGTCCTAGATCCTTGCATTGCTGAGAAGAGCTAAGTCTATCAAAGCTAGTCATCGCGCGGTGTGGCTGTTTCTGTATATGATGTTCTCCTGGTTCTGCTCACTTCACTCAGCATCAGTCCATACAAGTCTTTCCAGGTTTTTCTGAAGTCTGCTTACTTATCATTTCTTATAGCACCATAGTATTCCATTACCTTCATATACTACAGCTTGTTTAACCATTCCCCAATGGATGGGCATCCTCTCAATTTCCAGTTCTTTGCCACCACAGGAGGAGCTGCTGTAAATATTTTTCTATGTGTGGGTTCTTTGGAAAATTTTTTTAAAGAAGATCACGGTTGAGTAAGGGATAGACAGGACTAAAAGAAGAACAAATTGATGAATAAATAGTCATAAAGAGAAGAGGTAGAAATTTTGTACCTTTTGAAATTCCAGACATACAGTTGATAATTTGATAACTTCATTCATTTCCCATCTTTGATGCTAATATTGGTGTTTCTGCTTCCTATTGTCACTTCAGGGAGAACCCCCTGATGCCACTATTGTATGAGCCTCAAGCTTTGGTTGCAGTGTGCCAGCTTGTTGTGTGGTTTTTCTTTTTTTTAATATGAACTTTTTTTCTTTTTTCTGCAAGGCTTGAGCTGTATAGAAAAGTGCCGAATCTTCGAATCCTGGCCTGTGGTGGGGATGGAACGGTAGGTGCATGGAATGTTCCCCATTTTAATTTCTTTTGCCATTTTCCTTTGGTTTCCATAGGGTAACAAGACTTCTTTATTCCTACCTTTCTTTGCCTTCTCTCATCCCCAAGGTGTTGCCTATCAAGTGGTGATTTTTTTCCCCACATCTCCTATCTCCTATATCTAGTTAATCTAACTGGTTGTTAACTAGGTTTAAAAATGTCTAGTTAGTGAGAACAACTAACATAGCCTGTGAGAATTACTGTCAGGAAGGTGACAGATAGAGTTGCTGAGGGAGGGAGAGAATGAATATTCTGGTCATTCCTTTCTATCCCTACTACAATTACCCAATTCCAAAGTTTCATTAAATATCTGTACTATTTTAGTAGCTTTTTAACCTAAAGTAGGAAGAAAATCTCTATATCCATTCTTCCATTCAAACATTTACGAAGTGCCATTTACAAAGAAATTTTCTTTACCATCCACTCTTATGGTATCAAAAGGGCCAGCTCCCTTATGTTGATAAGCATAATCCATCTTTCTAAGAGTCTCAGTTTGTAGAAAGGGAACTGTCATCTCTATTAATACTCAGGAGTAAAAATATTTTTAAAAATTCATAGAATCGTAGCCCCAGAGCAGGGCCTTAGAGACAACATAATCTAACTGCTCTATTATACAAAAGAGGTTGCCTAAGTAATACACATTAAATATAGAGTTTGAACTCAGGCCCTCTGATTCCAGAGACAATACTCTCTTTACTGTACCATACTGCGTATGTGCAAAGGCATTTTACTGGGTACTGGAGATTCAGGGACAAAACAAGAAATAATCCTTGACCTCAAGAAGTTTATAGGGTTCTTCATACTCCTGCCGAGTTAATCTGCCTCAAATTCTCTTTCTTCCTGTCCCCCCAAGTCTTCAGTGGCTCTCTATTATAAATCCTAATTTTTTAGTTTGGCATTTAAAGCACCCTGAGATGTGGGTCTAACCTGCTGAATTCTTGTTGTCTACTTTTTTAAGCAGATTGTAGTTAGTATCTCCCAAGTATACCATCTTTATTCTCATGTCTGTACCTTTGCTCCTGTTTCTTTGCTCTAAAAGGACTTCTGAAACTTTGCCTGTCCTTCAAGACCCATGCTACCTTCTCTGAGCACTCTAGACCTTCAGTGATTTCTTGCCCTCTTCTGTATTCCTGTGATGTTTGTCATCCGTACTATCTATACCATTCTTTTGGTACATATACTGCCTTTGGATACCACTACTTTATGTTAGTGATAAATTCTCATATCATTATTTCACTACTCTTGTCTCCTCATCTAGGTGGGAAGCTTTGTGAGGGCTTGGACTGTGTATGTGTCACGTGTCTTTATATTCCCTTACAATTCTCAGCAGTGATTCAACAAAAATTTATTAAGCACTTATTGTTTGCCAGGCATTGTGCCAAGTGCTAGAGATACAAAGAAAGGCAAAAATTTGGCCCTTGGCCTTGAGGGGCTCACTATACACATAGAAGGTGCACACATATTTGTTGAAAGAATGGATGGATGAGCAGCTTAAATCCGTATTATCTTATTCCTAACCTAATATTAATACTAATCTAAATTTTTCTTGTATTAAGCTTAAGAGATTTCTTTTAGAATTTTTAAAATAGCCATATTCTAAATCTAATAATTTTGTTTATCAGCAATAAATGGAAAAATGAATTAAAATGACAGATGGAAGCATCACAATGTACACACAAAAAATGTATTGCTTAGCCTGCAAATGATTGGGGGTATTATTCCAAACTGCTCTGGCTCTGTTATCTTTCTGAGCACAGATTCACTAGCTCTTGTTCCTTCATTTCTCTGTATGATTTCCCTCCACTTTTCAGCATACACAGCAGAAGGCAACACACTCCCGGTTGTGTAAAGAGCACAAAGCTCTTATATTTGATGAAAATTAATGCTTCATTGTCTCCCCTAAAGCCATTATGTCTCAGAATGAAAATCTTACTCAAAATGCATCAGCCTGTGCTAGAAACAAAGCCAGCAGCAGGGCACTGGGTGGCCGCTGCTGCCATGGCTGTCCCTACTCTGACAAAAGGCTTGGTGTTCAGGACCCAGTTACTCACTAAGCAAAGAGAAGAAAATGATTCTCCATACTAGGAAAGGGTGACAACAGTCAGCCTACATTTCCTCATCTCTTTGGCCAAAAAAGGTCCATATCTTTGGGTTGTAGTTTTTCAGGCAATTAATTAATTGAACAGGCTCTTTTATACATGCTCAGTGCCATACTGGGTGAATTGGAAGAAAGCATTGTGAAATGTGGCCCCTTTCCCTTGGGAAACTTGCTCTTTAGCCATCAAATTAGAAACCGGTACCTGGCAAGGAAGACTAAGAAAGGAAGTATGACATCCTAGATTGAGTGATGAACTTGGAAAATAGAGGACTTGGGTTCACATTCTGCCTTTGATAACTTGCTGTGTGTATGATCATGGGCAAGTTGCTTAACTTTTCTGATACTCAGTTTCCTCATCTGTAAAATAAGAGCCCTGGAGTGGATGGCCTCTAAGGATTTTTCCAGCTTTATATTTATGATCCTTTGATTGGTTCTAGGGCAGCACCATAGTCTGACCTCTTTTTATCTTGTTTTTGCAGTTACCAGGAAAAATTTCAAGGAATCAGATATAAGATGCTTTGTGTCTCCTGATATTTTAGCTGGAGTTTGTTTTCATCCTGTCCTTTACTCCCTCTTTTTTTTTTTTTTTGCCTTCTGCTGCAATGCAGGCTTGTTTTTGCCTTTTCCTACTATTCTGAAGAAAAGAATCTTTAAAAGCGTCTTGTTTGTTCAGGACTGCCTTGCAAATCTGGGGGTAGGATACTCTGATACCAAGGCCTTTCTCTTTCGTAAGAGAAGAGAGAGGAAGAAGGCAGCACAGGGCCTTAGTGATTGCAATAAGGAGGAAAGGAGAAGGAAGGAAAGTTGCGGTCAGTCATGTAATTGTGGTGAGAATGGCTGTTTAACAAGGGCATTATTAAAGTATTGCCAGAAGGAGATCAGGGACCCACTTGTCTTGGCCAGAGGAGGGCTAGCTTTGAGTTGTCAGTCATACAACAGAGGAGATTTCAGGACCTTAAAATTAATTGCCCTGTGAGTCAGGAGGGCAGGTTATAGATGCCTCTGAAGGTTTTCTGGTGCCAAAAGATAAAGTCTTAACTTCATGCTTTCAGGGTCATTTCAGACTTTGCCCCATGGCTCACTGAAATGATGAGATTTCTGAGCATCTGTAGCTAGTTAAGAAAGCAAATCCCTTGGTATGAATAGGGAATGTCTTTTTTATTCCAACCAAATGTACCATTCAGTCCTTCCTCCATTTTTAGCTGAGAGGAGATGTACCAGGGGATCAGGGAGACACAATTCACATTCAGTGTCCTTCATGAAACATCCGTACTCTATAACTACTGAGCACAGTTTTGATCTCCTTACCTCTGTCATCAGGATAATAATTCAAGTGATCATGGGGATGGGTTGTGAGACCTTAGAGGCAGCTATACTGAAAGGGAGATGATGCAGACAAGCTGATTTTGGATCACTACAAAGAAATAGCATTCTGACGAGAGCTTTTCAACAATGGAATGGACTCCCATGTGGGAGAATCGGTTTCCTATCACTGGAGGTGTTAAAGCATAGAATGGATAGCCATCTCTCAGGGATGCTGGAGAAAGGATTCCTTTCTTTGGAAAGGGAGTTTGACTAAATGACTTCTAAAGTTCCTTTTAACTAGGAGATTTGTTGATTTGAACATCCAGTAATACTTCATGGATTATGTTATGTAAGGTTACTTGCTCTCACTTTGATTGGTACTAGATACCTGCTTTTGTTTGTTTTTCTTTTCGTTCTCATGAATTCACATTCTGATTTCCTTTCTCTTCTGTCAGTGCCAGTCTGTGAACTCTTATTTCCCAATGGAGTTACCAGGTGGTGTAGCTGACACCAATTGCTCATTCTGATGTAAGCAAACTTGTTAGCAGCAGGTTTAAACTTTAGTGGATGGGTCTCACTCAGGACATATGGCTTTTTGACATTTACTTCAGCATCAGTTCATTTTCAGAAGACCTAGGGTTTGTGTTGACTATAGACTTAACATAAACCAACACCACAGTATGGCCTCCAAAGGAATGAAATCAATCTTATACTAAGTGAATCAATAGAGGATTTAATCATAGGAGCCACTTAGTACCTATATGACGTTGAGAAGTCACTTAACCTCTTTGGACCTTGTTTCCCTATCTGTAAGATTAAAGGTATCGGATCATGTCCAAAGCACTTATATATTTATGATTCTATGAAGTAATTTTCATCTAATGCAAAGAACGCTGGACCAAGTCAGAAGACCTGAGGTTTACTCCCAACTCTGCCATTATTTAGTCCCATGACTTCGGGCAAGTAATTTTTTCTTTCTCTAGTTCATTTTCCTAATCTGCATAAATGGGAGACTGGGGTTGAATTAGTCCCTTCCAGATCTCAAAATCTGTGGCACTGTACTCCGTATTGATCAAATTACATCTGCAGCACTCTGTTCAGTTCCCCATTTTTCTAATTAAATTATACATTTCTTGAGGAAAGTGGCTGAGTCATATGTCCCTTTTTTTTTTTGTGGATTGATATGTCTAACAATACTGCACACATCCTAAGCACTCAATAAATATTTAAATCTTTGACCCTATTTCCATTTTCAGACTTTACTATTTTCTTGGGGGCTAATGAATTGCATATGTTTACTTCAACTTGGAATTGTCACATCCCTAATACGAGACTCTATGCCTTTCCTAATTTGGCCTACGATCCAGTTTGCTTTTTTGGTCGCCATTGTCGGCTCCTATTCAGCTGGCTTTCCATTTCTAACCTCCAGATTTTTTTGACTCAAGTTGCCAGCTAGCAATCCCTCCCTAAAATCCATGCTTGTGAAATTGATTTTTAAACCCAAATATATTTATTTGTCCATATTTAATTTCATCCTAATAAATTCAGTTCAGTGATCTAGCTTGTCAAGATAACTTTTGAATCCTGATTCTGTCATCTAGTGTGTTAGCTATCCTTCCCAGATTTGTGTTGTCTGCAAATTTGAGAAATATGCAGTCTGTGCTTTTAGCCAAGTCTTTGACAAAAATGGTAAATTTTAGATGGAATGGATAAAGACTTCAGCCATACTCTTTTAAAGGGCCCTTTGCTCTTGGACTAAATGTACAACATGTTTATAGATGGAAAGAATAGGTGGAAAGGTTTGCACTGAATTATTTCAGACCTGAAATTTTCTTTAAAAATGTTACCTCTTGAAGCCAGTTAAGAAGTAAACGAATGGATGATTGCATCTAGTTTTGTTTATGTAGGACACGCTCTAAATGTTGATTTTCATTTCAAGATGATTACCATTCTGGAGTGAGTTTAAAAGTTTGAAATAAAGAACATTCTCTTCCAAAGACAGTTTTTGTTTTTACCAAAAAAAACCCCAAACAAACCAGCAAACCCCAAACCCAAAAAAACCCCATAAACTCTTCCATATGATTATTATTAAAGGCTCCTTCTTTTTCCTCCTACCTCCAGCCCCCTGGGATATGCTTCTCTCTCATTTTTTTTCTGTCTCTTTTGGTTCCCAATCTGTCTGTAGGTCGGTTGGATCCTTTCCATCCTTGATGAACTTCAACTCAGTCCTCAGCCTCCTGTTGGGGTTCTTCCTCTGGGTACTGGGAATGACCTGGCTCGAACTCTCAACTGGGGAGGGGTAAGGACTAGCTCTCACAAGCCTGTAGTGATACAAGACAGTTCATTTTGCCAAGAAATCATTTCTCTGTAACAAGCAGATGTTTTAACGTGAGATCAGGATGTGTCTTCATCTAAAATAATAATTTAGGCTTAAGGGTCAAAGGAACATGATGAATGTCCAGGAGCCATGATCTAATCCAGTCAATTTTTCAGATTTTCTTATAATTAGGTATAAGTCATGAAGGAACTTGGTATGGAGCAACTAAGTATGTCACAAAGCTTTTTCACATAAGTCCTACTTTAATCAAGTCTTCTCTATAGACAGTGAAAAGAAGTGGGATATCATATTTTATCGTTCCATCCCATGTTGAGCACTAATTGGAGGGCCAAATCCAGGTCACAGTTACACCCTTCCCCTACCCTGTGGAGGTAACTTCTTCCTTTGGTGATATACTTCACCATATTACAAACTATTATTTCTAAAATGGCAATTCTGATAGAAGAATGACCATAGTTGGTAAGGGGGACAACCAACTAAGTGTATATCATGAACCAGTTTCAAGCTGACTCAGCAGGAAGTAGTGAAAGTTATTGTTTTGCAAGCTATCTTGCCTGTTTTTCCAGAATGCAGATGGTGAGGAGGCACTGTTGATAAGCCACTTTGATATTTGTCATCGTCACAGGAATAGTTCTGTCTCTAATGACATTGTACACGTGTAGCTTCCTTAGGAGCTACGACTTCTGGTGGCATGCAAAGAGAGCTTGATGTAATAGGTTGCAATTCAAAAAACCCTCACAGGAAATAATTTTTCCTTTTGTCCATAACAACTCTTGGTTTCTTTCTGAAACTTGTTCCAAGTTTTCAGTAAGGGTGATTAGGAAATTGAGTTTTTTGGTCCTACTGTATCTCAGTTGGTTTCTGCCCCAACAGCACAAAGAACAGGGCTGCTAGAAAGGTGAGAAGGGGGCACTGAGGAGAACAAAGTTCCTCTCTAGGTATTACTTTCCATATCTTCTACATCCTTAGCCCAGCTCTTTTCCAAATTCTGCCTTACCCAAACTTAAATCTTGTACCTAGTATTCCCAGTGTGAGAGTGCTTAGGAATAGGAGGGGAGGTATCCTGTAGTCAGTCCTGTAATCACATTTATTAAGTGCCTACTATGTGCCAGACACTGTGATAAGCACTGGGGATAAAAAAGAGGCAAAAGATAGTCCCTATTCCCAAGGAGTTCATAATCTAATGGGGAAGACAACAAGAAAAAAACAAATATGCACAATCAAGCCGTATACAGGATAAATAGGAAATAACAGAAGGAAGGCACTAGAATTAAGAAGGAATGGGAGAGGCTGTAGTGAACTCTATGAATCCAGCTGCCGTTATGTCTTTATGATCATAAATGGCTATATTCCTGACAGATAAAGTTGCTGGCTTCAGGAGAAAGACTCTCTTGATTCACAGCTGTCTAGGCTTAGGTGATCTTTTTGCATGTCCTTTTAAGCTAAATTCTGGGAACACAAGTAAATAGGTGAGAAAGAGTTCCACTTAGAATTGGTTATCTGTAAAAACAAAACAAAACAAAACAAAAAAACAACCAGTTCTCCATAGGAGAGAGGTTCCTCCTTTCATGAATATCTTTCAAAGGAAAGTGTTTTTGCAATTTCAACCTCACCAATTTACAGAATAAAAACTTGGTACCCGGGAAGGCAGGGTACTAATTAATATGTGTTCTTTCTGATTCCCCAGGGTTACACAGATGAACCTGTCTCCAAGATATTGTGCCATGTGGAAGATGGAACTATTGTGCAGCTAGATCGATGGAATCTCCACGTAGAAAGAAACCCTGATTTACCCCCTGAAGAACTTGAAGATGGTGTATGCAAGGTTAGAGGGATCTTTCTTTAGTAGAGGACCTTAGAATATCAACCTGAATTATAGGAAACAAGTCCTTCAGTTCCTGGTAGAGGAATCTCACTGTGACTCCTTTTTGTGGGATTAAGGAGCATCATCTCAGTTGAGGGCTCAGTATGATAGAATCATAGCCTTTTCAAATACTTATTCCTCTTAGACTTAGAAATGATTAAATCCCATAGTCACTTCCAAAGGTCAGCCAATTCATCCTCTTTCCCTTCTAGGCAGAATTGCATAATAATATTACAAGAGACATGTTTATCAAATTTCTGATCCCTTAAGGTTATCTTTATCCCCATCTCTAGGATATCAATATCCAGATTTGTAATCTGTAGCTAGAAAGACAACTAGTCTTATCTCATCCAATATCTTATGATCAGGAAGGTCTTCCTCATGACCGGCCTAAATACAGCTTGTATCAGAGACCACCTTCTTTGTCTTCACTGGAAATATAGGATTCCTAGTCACAATCTGTCTTCAGCCTTAACTTTGGAGCTGGCATTTTAAGAATAACAAACCAAGGTACATTTTCTAAAATCTTACAGAGCTAAGCTTTAAACAGTGAGTGAATTGGTTCTAAGTTCTAGCCTTAATTTCAAATATACACAGTAGACTTCTGAATATGTAAATACTCTATTATTTTCCCCCTTTTCCTCTTCACTCTGTAGGGAAATATACACATGCACATATAAACGTACACATATGTTTACCTAGATATATCTATATATACATGTATATATACACATACACACATATACACGAATATATCTATATAACCGTACATAATGCAGTTCACTCACCATATTGACTTGTACATTTTGACTTATTGCTCTAGTAGTAGAGATAGAAGTGCAAGAGATACATCTATATTCTCTTACCTGGTCTTTTTCTACCACTGCCATTGCTTGTGGTATGCATTCATTCATGGTGTGCATGCGTTAGATGAAAGATTGTGGTTAGAGATGTTGATTCATGGAATAACTAACTTGTCCATATTGGGTGGTAGAAAGAGAAGAAATAAGCATTTATATAGCACCTATTATGTCCAACACTGTACTAAGTGGTTCATTATTATCACTTATTTAATTATTACCACTTATTTTACATTTGGGGCAACTGATGTAGACAGAGGTTTAGCCAATTGCTAAGGATCAAACAGCTAGTAAATGTCTGAGGCTGGATTTCAACTTGGGTCTCTCTGATTTCAGGCCAGCCCTCTATTTACTGTTCCGTTTAGTTGCTCCCAAGCTCGATCTGTAAATCTGGCCTAGATTCCTATTCAGAAACACCTATTTTCTTTTGTTCAGAGAAATCAAGGGGATTTTTTTTTGCCTTGTCCTCATCATTCATTCACTTATCCCATGAACTAAAACTTGAAAGACTTCCTCTGTTTCACAGTAGACCATCTGAACAGTCAGCAATAGTAGAATGGTGCTGTTAAAATAGGAAACATCTCTTTGGACACCATGAAATTAGTGCTAATTATAAAGCATGTGACTAGAAAGAGCAGGACCCAAACTAAAATAAGTAACCCATGTGGCCACCATGAGGTAGTCTGTCTCCTACACATAGTGTTGGTCAGGCTATTATTAGACTGTCCCATTCAGCTCTGGTCTCTGCAGTCTGAAGAATTGGAAGCCCCCTTAATGGCAAGAGAAACACCAAATCCGAGGATTTTTTTAAAATGAGATTTTGGAAGAAAGTTGAAAGGAATTTGGATTTTTTAGCTTGGAGAAGCTAAAGAGTAATTTAATAAATGTTCCACAAGCCTGTTATTTAGAAAATGGTGGCTGGATTTTCTCTTTGGCTTATTTGCAGTGAATATTAAGAAAAGGAAGTTGTACAATGAACTTAAGTGGTTTAGAAGGATAATGTTTTCACTACAGGAAGGATAGCTTTACTAGGGTTTTATGTATATGTACACACACACACACACACACACACACACACACACACACACACACCATACACATACATATATGGCAATTGGGGTTAAATGACTTGCCCAGAGTCACACAGCTAGTGAATGTTATGTGTCTGAGACTAAATTTGAACTCAGGTCCTCCTGACTCCAGGGCCGGTGCTCTATCCACTGCACCACCTGGCTGCCCCACTTGCACCCCTCCTTTTTTTTTAAACTGTGTTGTTTTTACATAGTTTTGGTATTTTGTGAAAGTCTGGGAAAAGTCATCTTTTACATATCAGTTGAGCAGCAGTTTCAGTTTCTATTTTAGTTCAGCAGTTTCTAAGTTTCTATCATTCTCTGAGACAACATTTCATGGTTCTCTCTTGTCTCTTCCTAAGGATCAGTTTACCTGTTGTGTGAGAGTTGGTCCTCATCTATCAGTCTGTCCTGTTAATTTTGTCTTTTCAATCCAATTCAGTAAATATATTTTAAGTGTTCACTATAATCAAGATATTCTACCACAGGGGAAAATTGGTTCCTGCCCTCAGGGTGTTTGCATTCTACTTTAGGTTATTTCTTATATGTAGCCCATCTTGGTCACCCAATGAGTCCCTACTTTTAAGACAAAAGGGAAGACTTCTTCTATAATAAAAAAAATTCCTTCTCTTTGACCTTTAACCAAATGGAAAATTTTGGTGGTTATGGTGAAAGTGATACACTGCAATAATTTCCTAGATATGGTATTTTTAATATTAAGCGGCCTACTATGTGCTTTGTACATGTTTGTTGAATTGATAAGAATGAGGCATAATCCTGCTTCAGCAGAGAGATAATATGATTACCCTCCCCCAGCTAAGAGGAATTAGCTCATTCGATTGTCATTTACATGTCTTTCATGCTGGGGTTATGATCAAAAGAGTGAGTCCATGAGAGATCTGTTACCCATTAGCCATTCGCCATGTACTTTTCTAATTTTACTTGACTTTAGTGACAAGAGAAAGATTATCTCAGCAGTTGCATTTTGCTGTTAGCAACGTGAAGCCTGTTTCAGTGTAGCATGTCTGGTTATTTTTCCTTTTGCTGTATCCAGGAAAAAAAGCTAAGGCTGGCCTTTAGAATTCTAGAATGTTAGAGATGGAAAAGCCATAGGCATTCTATTCTAGTTCAGTTCACTGATTTATCAGGCTAAGGCCCAGGGGTGGGGGCTGGAGGGTAGGGTGTAAAATGACCAATGCTCTTTTCATTCAGCCACACTTTTGGCAGTCAATCAGTCAATCATTGGGGTAGCTATGAGAGAGAACCCACATAAAGTAGGGAAGTGATATTTTTTTCATGGGTTAATGATGTGGTAATTCAGACTATGGGGCATGGTTTGAATTAGTGAAATGTTCAAATTAGAATTTTTCTTTTTAAAAATATAGATTATCATTACTTTTAAGTGTAGTGACTTTGGATCAACAGTTTAAATGTGTTTCCAAGTAGAGGCCCTACCATAAGTACTTACTGAAGAGATAGTTCATTTTAAACGAGCTACTTCTGTATGCCAAGTGTTCTAATGCTTTTTTTCTCTGAAGGAAATATGTTATGCATACGTGCACACACATATCCCCAGTGCTTAGCACACTGCCTGGCACATAATAAATACTTTTGGACTGACTGACACATAGATACACATATATATTTGGTAAGCAAATTCAGTTTAAGCAAAGTACAAAGAAAAATTTTTAATTTTTTCAGGTCCTATCATCACAGAATCCAGACCAGTGGATTTGGTACTTGCATTTTGTTATTGGTTTTGTTGCTCTTCTGTTTGTTAGCTATGATTCCTTTCCTTGAGCCTTTCTAGAGGAGTTTCCGATCTTAAATTCATTGCCCTTTCCCCTTATTTTTGGGACTTCCGTTGGGAGGGGTAAACCAAGGACCAGTCACACCTGGCATCATAGAGTGTCTTTTCCTTTTCATCTTTGTCAGTCAACTTTACATGGATCTCTATTTGTCATTACAGCTTCCCCTCAATGTTTTCAATAATTACTTCAGCCTTGGATTTGATGCTCATGTTACACTGGAATTCCATGAATCTCGAGGTGAGAAACATCTTTTGCCCTTGTACTAGGGTAGAACGAACTGGCAAGTAGTGTGAATGTTTCAACAAAGGTTAAGCTTGTTACTGTCGTTCTTTTGATGGAGACCTGAGAAGAAATATAAGTACACAACAGACAGGGATAGATATTGATAACCCATATTTATATAGAACATTCATGAGAATATTGGAATGCTTCCTTGCTCTCTTTAGGTCTCTCCCTCATATTGGGCAATGCAAAAGGGACCAGACATTGAAATAAGAAGGCTGAAAGGGTTTGAAAGAAAGAGGATGGTGTATAAATGCCCCGAATGATTTGAAGTAGACAAATTTGACTCCCATATTTCTTTCCCCATTATCTACAACATAACCAATCACATGGATTAGGATGATGGTTATGATGCTAATGGTTGTTCCAGCCTCTACATGTTTCTGATTTGAGAACCAAGAGGAAAAGCAAAAATAGTCCGTAAGCAAAACATTTCCTTTATTGCTTTTAAATCTGAAAACTGCACTAAGACTTTTGGGACATGTCGTGTCATATGTGTATGTTGGGAACACTGTGGTATGATTTTAGTTTTTATTCCTTTGAATTCCTTCAAATTTTGTTGCATTTGAATTCTTTTGATTGTGTTCTAAAATAATTTCTAGGAAGTAGTTTTGTGTGAAGTCATTTTGCAACAATTATATTGAGGGCTTGCTTGTTACTGACACCTACCTCATTTTTTCTGTCATCAAGGATGAGACTCTGTTAAAAATAAGTAGCCATAGGCATTGTAATATTCTCTCAAATATTCCTGGTAAGTAATTGAGTATAGCTTTCGTATTGGAGCCTGAATATTTTTTTGTTCAGTTGTGTTCAATTCTTTATTTTTTGCAGAGATATTGGAGTGGTTTGTCATTTCCTTCTCCAGTTCATTTTACAGATGAGGAAACTGAGGCAAACAGGGTTAAGTGACTGGCCCAGGATCACACAGCTAGTAAGGCTCTGAAGCTGGATTTGAACTCAGGTTTTCCTGACTCCCAGCCCAGTGCTCTATTTACTGCACCACCCAGCAGCATATTGAAAAACTTAATGTCTAGGCTGCATACAAAGACTGACCTATCTTTAAACAAACCAAACACATTTTAATAGAAGCTCGTTATACTTCTGATAGTGTAAGACCTATACATTTTTCATAGTGAGATTATAACCACATTGATTTATCTAAGATAAGCTATTTGGTGATCTGTAGTAATTATTGCAAGCATGTCGCTCACCAGCACCAAGGTTTGTTGTTCAGAGATTTAAAGTGATATTCCAAGTCAGTAGCCATAGCCTAGTTGTTAGCAGTAGACAGATATGCATTCCAATTATATCTTGATGCAGCATTGCATTGGAAAGGAAAGGAGTCTAGATAAAAACACTTACTGGGAGTCTTGCCCCAGGGTGTTTTATATGGGCCCCAGTAGCAAGATGGGGCAGCTAGGTGGTTCAGTGGATAGAATACCAAGACCAAAGTCAGGAAGATTCATCATCCCGAGTTCAAATCTGGCCTCAGATGCTTACTAGCTGTGTGACCCTGGGCAAGTCACTTAACCTTGTTTACCTCAGTTTCCTCATCTGTAAAATGAACTGGAGAAGGAAATGGCAAACCATTCCAGTATCTGTGCCAAGAAAACCCCAAATGGGGTCACAAAGAGTCAGATATGACTGAAAAAAATGACTGAACACTGAGCAGCAAGATGGCCAGTTTTGGAGTTCTGATGACTTGAAATTGGCCTTTTATCATTCTGCAGAGGAGAGTAAGGAGCAGAGCAGTCTGAATAGGACAAAGTTTGGAGAGTGCCCTTCTAGTTGACTTACTGATCCATCATAATTCCACCTTTGAGTGTAAATGTTTTTTTGACTCACTGGACAGTCATCTCCTTAATCAGACATCTTGGGTGTATTCTTATATTTCATTTCCTTTGTGAGAGTAGATTTTGAGAGGTCCACGAATCATGTCTATCTGGGGCTCTGAGAGTGATCTGAGAATGTAATTGCTCGGAAAAATATGTCTGTGAAACATTTTGTTCCCAGATTTGTCAGTAGGCAGCATGTTTAATGTATTCTAATCTGAAATCCTTTCCTACTACTTGGGAGTAAAATACTTTAGAAGTGGGAGGCAGCTAGGTGGTGCAGTGGATAGAGCACCAGCCCTAAAGTTAGGAGGACCTGAATTCAAATCTGGCCTCAGACCAAACACTTGTCACTTACTAGCTGTGTGACCCTGGGCAAGTCACTTAACCTTAAAAAAAAAGAAGCCTTAAAAAAAGCCTTAAAAAAAAAGAAAAAAAAAGAAAATACTTTAGAAGTAATTACTTCCTCCAAGGGCAGAATTCTGAGGGGGAGGAGACAGTATTTAGATTCAATGACTTCCTTTCCTTTCCTTTTCATGTGTTTTACAACATTATCTACCTTGCTAAAGGTTAAAGAAGTAGTTTGATGGTAATCCAGAACCTTGTGGAGGGACTAGAACAACATCCATATCATATAGTAAACGTTTTATGGTCAGGGTAGAAGTATTTTATTTTTACTTGACTTTGTCCAAACTTCAACAACTGATGATCCTGGGTGCATTTTAATTGTGGATGCCCAGCCATATGGAAGGGTTTCCCTGGGCAGTTGTTTAGGATTATTCTGTGCTTGTTGGAGTCCCTGTTTTGTAGAATTCTCATTAGGTAAGAATTGTGAAATGGCAGGCACCTTGTTTCAGTAGTATCCCAGTTATGATATCAGCCGAAATTAAACTTATAGAAAGTCTTCAGGAAGTTCTTTGTGGTTTTGATTGATTGCGAATCTGAGCAAAAGGGAAAAAAAAGAGCTGTGGATTTGGAATTTCTGGTGGCTTATATCTGGGCTATTTAGGACAAAGCAAAAGCCTCAAGCCTTTCAGAGACTACTCAATTTTTATAATAGTTTTCTTCCATAAAAGGCAATAATTCTAAGCCACTTGATCATTTATTTGAAAAGAAGAATTTTCTGACCTTAGACTCAGAAGCATGAGCTTTCCAGAATGCTAAACAGTTTTTGAATAGTGCATTAAAATGTACAGAAAACATTTTTAGAAAATCAGTGCTGCAGCTTACCATGCTGTAATTCTGCTTAGACCCGAAGTATCACATGGCATTGAGGCACCTGTTGCTTATTAAAAACATTTATGGAGCAGAATTGATACTTAAATTGACAAAGACATCTTTCTTATTTTTATAGGAGTAAAGAAAATTCACAACTTCTGATATGAGGGTTTGTAATCTTTTTTTTTTTTTGGTCATGGATTCCATTGACAATCTTGTAAAGCTTATGGACCCCTCAAAATAGTGATTTGTTGTACACATTCATAATGGAAGGAAATGCTAAATTTCAGTTAGAAGATAGTGAAAAATAAAAATGCAAGATTTTTCCCCATCCAATTTCCAAGACCCCTTGAAATCAGACCCTATGGTTAAGAACTTGTGCTGTAGAGTCATATAATGTCAGAATAATGTTGGAGAGAACCTCAATGTCATCTCATATGATCTGTAATTAAGCAGGAATCCCCTTTTATAATACACACAAGTAGCCATTCAGCCTAACCTGAAGACTTCCGGTGGTAGGGAACTCACTATCACATGAGGAAGCCTATTCCATATTTGTGCAGCTCTAGTTATTGTGAAGTATTTCCATATTGAACTGAAATCGACCTCTTTGCAACTGACACCAAATACTCCTAGTTCTGGCCTCTGAGACCAAGAGAAATGCATATAAATCCTAATCCGGAAATAATTAATGACACCTCTCATGTTCACATTGAAAGTCATTTCTTCTCTGGGCTTCACATCCTCAGTTCTTTACACTAATCTTCTGATTGAATTGCTTTAAATCCCATCACCAAACATCTTATTCAACCTCCTGTAGTTTCACACCAGCTTTTATCATTGTCCTTCCTGGACAATGCCTGGAATTAATGCAAAACTTTTGATATAGTCTTACCAAGGCCAGGGACAAGCAGATCTATCACCTCTCTCATTCTGGACATCCAACTTCTATTATTAGTCTAAAATTGCATTTTTTCTGTCATACTTTTAATTCATATTGTAGCACGCTAAAACCCTCAGGTGATTTTTACAGAAGAATTCTTGTCTAGCCATGTCTTCCTCATCCTATATTTGTTCTTCTGATTTTTTTTTTAACCCAAGTGTAGGATTTTCCATTTTTCTCTGTCAAATTTCATCTTATTAGACTTGCCCTATCACTGTAGCCTTTCTAGATTTACCCGGATGGCCCAAACTTATCTTCTCAGCCTTATTATACATTACCTCCCTTCTTGTGGCCTGAGGTCTAGCCAGACTGACCTTGTTCCTTAGACACAACATCCCATCTCCCATCTCTGTGCCTTTGAAGTGGCTGTCGCCATACTTGGAATGCATTCCTTCCTCACCTTTGCCTCTTGGAATCCCTAGTGGACCTCGAGTTCTCCCTCCTGCATGAGGCCTTTTCTGTCCATCTCAGCTGCTAATGCCTTCTTCTTCCTCCAAATTAATTGCCTTATATCTATTTTGTCTCTATCTAAATGTTCATATTTGTCTCCATTGGTAGACTGAAAACTTCTTAAGAGCACAGGTTATATTGCTTTTTTCTTTGCACGCTTAGTGTGCAAAGCACAGTTCCTGATATGTGTATATATATATATAATATATGCAAAATATTATATATATATATAAACAAGTACTTAATATATACTTGTTGATTGAAAATTACTGTCAATTATAATCACTATATCAGAGGTTTTGTATTGGAAAGTGATTTATATAACAAGATAGGGATGTCTCATTGGAGTAAAGTTTTTATAAACTACATTATTGAAATCATGGTAGTGTATAATTATGATAACTATAAATGAACAAACACTGTGAAGTTGCCTGTATGTTATCCACACTGGTGTATAACTTTTAATGATGTTGCGGTGGTCTGACAAAAATGTCCACTTCCATAGTTGAAGA